TTAACACTTCGATGCAGTAATCTGTAATACAGAACAATTAATACATAAAAAGGAAAGCAACTGGCAGCCTTGTCGCTTTCGTGCGATCCTTTTCAGGCAATCAATGTAAAAAAAAATTGATGGTGAATGAAATTGAAGGTGAGCGAAAGAAGAAGTGAAACTGGCTTTTAGTTTCCAAGAAATTTGTGGACAATGTCATGAATTTTACAGACCGAATCAGAGAAACTTCGGAGAGTTAAGGCATGCCGCTGGCTGCTGCTAAGCTCTTGGCAGACGCCACTGCGAGGTTGGTGGTAGCAGCCAGGCAATGCGCTACATAAGACAAAATTACTTAAAAAATTATGGACAAAGCAAACCAATTCAAACATGTAAACAGTGAAAGAAACAATAATAATAAAAAGCACACATTCAAAAGAAAAGGAGAGAAAAAAGAAGTTATAGAAAACACATATATATAATTCTTATAAGGCCGGCAACGCACTGGCGAGCCCTCTGGCATTGAGTGTCCATGGGCGGCGGTATCACATAACATTAGGTGAGCATCCTGCCCCTTTGCCCCCCGTGTTATAATAATAATAAAAAAAATTGTTTATTTGTTTAGTATTTTGTTGGCGGTTCAATGTGTTGTTGTTTAATGGTTATTTCTATACGAATATTGAGAGACGGCCAAATTATAATGTTGCATACAAAAATATTATAATAATAACTTCAATTTCACAGGTCAAATTGGCAATTGACGTAACACAGGTGCAGGTTATATGCGCAGGTGCTAGATAATTGTTTGGCGAAATCAAAAACTACCATAGATAAAGGTAGACTGTTTTTTATCTACGGATTTACTAGTCTTTGCAGATAACCAATTTTTAGGAACTTATTAAAGTTATACTTCTTTTGGCGCGTTAGGGATAAATGATGAGAGTACATTTTTACGATGCGCGCACACACCGTCACAAAAACCGACACCCAGAAGTTAGCTATAGTCAACATTTTATTTTCTATTGTTAGTGTAGTTTTTTCTACAAACGTAGAATACAATTTTTGATAAGATTTTTATCTTGTTACGACAATTTTTTTTAAATATGTTGTATTCCTAACTCTTATTGTTATATAAATTAATATATTTAATTAATAATTAAGTCGATTAGAAGTCAGTATTATCACGTTTTCTATTTATGAATAGACAGAAAATACAATGTAAAACCATTAAGGAATTATTTCCTAAACAAAAGCTGTTATTTGAAATCGAAAGCTCCATCCGTTGGCAAATAGTGACTTCCCAGAAAAGAGGTAGGAATTTACATCAGGTATTAACCACCTGCGCGGCGCTTCACTGCCTACTGGGGTCTATTAAGAAGCTTTTCAATGTTATGTTTGCCTAGTACCTGGCAATTATTTAGGTCAAACTTTTTAACTAAATTTTACATTAATTGACTGTCCTAATTTTTTTAACTACGGTTCAAAACTTAATAATAATAATGTGCGTTGAAGGTTCATCGATTGAACCAAATATTAAACTTTAATTTTATACATAAAGTAGAATCATAATGTTGCTCGCTGTCACATTATTTTATATAATTTAACATTATTTTCATAGGGCAACTCTATTTCCATCATTTATTAGTTATATTTTGCCACGAAATGATTAACTTATCCCTTATTTGTAATAGTTGGTTAATTAAAGTAATTTTACATACTTTTATAATTCAAAATAGCAAGTGCGCGATAAAAACACTTGATACTCCATAAACATACCTATTTGTTTAAAGCCACAATATTTTTTGTCTCAGTCCCTATGTAGGTTTTTATAGTTCCTGTGCTTTGTAGGTATTATTCAAATTAGGTTAAATGGCTTAAAAAATTGAGTGATTAATTTTAATAACAAAAAGCGTGGATTTCGCGGGCAGCCGCGCGCGGCGCGGGGAGGTTCGTCACTGGCCAATGGGCGCTCGCCGTGCCGCATCGCACTTATTACCCAACACACAATTTTCCACGGAAAATCCATACATTTTTCCACACATTTATTGCACACACACTCTCGCGCATACACCCCCATCGACATACTGTGCAAATGAACTGCCATTTTGACTTAGAAATCCCCGAAAAAAATTATCAAAGATCGCGCCCTTCGATATAGAATTTTTTTTTGTTAATTAATTATATTATTTTTAGTATCGATATCGGTTGGATTTAATATTTGAATCATTTTAAAATACTTTTCGAAAATATCGAATGTGAAATTATTTAAATTCTTATAAAAGAACGGTGAAAGCCGGACGTAAGGGTAGTATATTTTTTTAATAATTTTTATTCTTTATCGGATGATAAAATATTTTTAAAATTAAAAAGATAAGTGCTAATTTGGTTTAACTGAAAATAGAGCAGGGCAGGGCCCGCCCAGGCAAGAGCCGTGCGCGGGAGTGGCTTCGCGGCGCCCAGCGCTCAGTGTTCTAACGAAAAAAAAATTTTGAACCTTCACGTTTATATATCAAAAGATAGGCGCAAGCCCGTATATTAATTTAACGAAAGAACCGCACCGAAATAAATAACTATGCGCCGAGGAAAATTGTGCAAAATTTTCCGGTCGCTCTCCACTTGTGACGTCAGCGCGGCCTCGTTCCACACTTTGGGTGGGGAAAAACAATTACGACCACGAAGAGATATTACAAAATTTTTAAAAGTATAAAAACCCGTAAAATCCTAACGGGATGTTAGGAGCCGAGGTAGACGATTCCACGAAGGGTTGTTAGAAGCCTATATCCGCGGATAAGGTTTGGGCGATAAAAAATATCTCATTCATGTTTGGGTGCGCAGGCGCCGACACTATGGATAATTAACTATCGTTTACCCGCGGGTACACTTGAATTTTTGGAAGAAAATATTAAATTTTAATTGATATTTAAGTTTTTAAAGACCCTGTGTTAATATTATTTTTTTAATAATGCCTCCAAAAATATGAAACTTCTCAAATATTTATGTATGAAACAATTTTAAATTATGTTGTTACAATAAAGTTTTTTATGGGAGATTTGAAAGTGCGTTGCCGGCTTTTACGGTTGCAATAAAGCCTGCAAAGTGCTTAGAAACTTCTCAGCTTCTAGAAGATAGGCTGGCCTAATAAACCAGGACTTATACAACGGACCAATTGCAGTGGTACTCGTTTCTTGGAGGCTTTAAGTGTTCCAAAGGCAAAAACCTATCTAGGAACTGCAGACGTCAAGTTGAATCATGTTATAAGTCTTTTATTTCGTGCCTCGAATGCGATAGGAAAAGAATTGAAAGTAATGTCGAAAAAACTAGCTCTGCTTTTTTTATGCTAGGCTAACGGCCTCATTTGAAGCTCGCAAGTACGTTGTCGGCCTTTTGAGAAGTGGTGAGTGTGTATACCATTGTTGAGTTATTAATGATACTTAAGATATTAAAGTTAAGGGATAAATTTCAAATCATTTATTTTGTCTCTAGCGTGGTTAATATCTGTTTCGTGATAATTTTATCCAATAGGCGAGTAGGTGATCAGCCTTTTGTGCCTGACACGCCGTCTTTTGGTCTACGGGGTGCCTGACTCACGATGTTTTCCTTTATGACGAGTGTTAAATGCGCACGGATTATGTCCATGGGCACATTGCAGTAACTAGGCCTAACTAGTTTTTTTAAATCGAGACAGTTCGTAGATTAGCGCGTTCCAACTCGTCATTTATTTAGTTTATTATTTTAGTAGACTTTCACAGTATATAGTTTTAATTACGTCAGTCCTTGGGGTCCCGAGGAAGAGGGCGGAAGTGGCTGCACGTGTTACGATAACGGCTTCATGCTAAATGCGCTTTTATTAGATACGCATAAGTGCGATAATCCTATAACCTTAATAACGTAGGGTTTTGTAGTAAAATGTGTAAATTAATACCGTTAGTTCACGTTATTAATTTTGTGTTTGTTACAAAAGTGTTCTAAGTATACTAAAACTATAAATTTAATAAGAACCTTTCTCAGTGCTTATCATGTTTTAGTTGATTTTTTGTATTTTTATTTTTGGTACACATGTCATTTAAAGTATATACGACGCAAACAAAACTTATTATGTATGCATGTACTTGGTACTTATTACCCATAGAAGTATTAATCTTTAGTTAAACCTTAAAAAGTAACTCGAATAAATCTCTTTCAATTTCTATAATGTATAAGAAACACCACAGATTAGGAAAAAGTGTATCTTGTATGACCTTATTAATCTCTGCAATTAAATACTCTTTACACATAAAAAAATAAAAAAATAAACATAATTTGTGGTTTGAAAATAGAATTTTAATTCATTTCCGTACTTCGTGAAAAATATTCGAATTGCAAACTGCAAATAGATACTTTGCGCAACTTCACGTGTTTGATACATGATATTTAAAACTACATAGCAAATACCGTAAGAAGTAGGTAGTGAGAATGCCGGTTCGATGAGTAACTGCTGACGTCATCACTGCATAGCGCAATTAGCATGAATTTCTAGTACCATTCACATTTTCCCTCATGTTTCAGTTAAAAAATTGGATACACCACACCGAAGTACAGACCAGATAGACTTATTTAAAAAATCATTAAAAGTAGAAAATCGTAGATTGTCAAAAAATCTTCAAAACAAGATTGATACATTACTTTTGTTAAACAAATTGATTGCATAGAATACAATCACAGATTACATTTTTAGAATAATATAAAAATCTATGATGGAGATAAAAAAGCGACTTTATCTAGTAGCTTTGAGGAACTCTTAAATTTATCTACCCTCATTTTAGTTTATAAATGAATCCTGGAAACTGTCTTTTAATTGTTATTATCTTACCGAATCTCACTCGATCATATTTGGTCAATGTCGAGTAAAAAAAATACTAACTCAAAAACTGTTCAATGAAATATCATTTGCGGGTATTCTTAAAATTATTAAAAGTAATTATTACTATAATATTTTTGCACTTAATATGTATAATATACCTATACAACCTTTACTACCCTTAAAAATGGAGATTGGCAGTAAAAGGAGTAAGGATTACCTGTACCGTTTTTTGGTGGAGGTACGCCACAACTAAAGGGTACAAATTTCATAATAATCTGATAAACGAGAATTTTATGTATATTATTCTGCAAGTAAACCAATCAAAAGAATACTAAAAACATTCCAATTTCAAAGCGTAGTGTAGCAGTCCTTTAGATAAAAGTAGGTGGAGAAAGTTTTTAAAACAAATAACCTGTCTTGATAATACTTAATGTTAGAATGTATTCAAGATATACCTACTTGCAGGATTTTATTGATACTCTCTACCAAGATAACCTTAATTGTGGCTTCCAATGGCGCTACAAGTCTATATGGGTATTGGCTACAGATAAGTTTTCTTTCTTAATTTTTATTTAATATACAAGCAAATTATATCTATGTCCACGGCTTCCTCAAGGTATTTGACTTCACCGAACGAGCAAGAATATAAAAGGACAATTTTAAAGTTACAACGCCGTGATTCGAATGCAAGATCTCAGAGTTAAGGGTAGCAAGTCAACACTTAACAGTACATCTTGTAGTATCAAAGTAAATTTTAACTAAATAGTATTAACATCTTTAAATCCTTCAAATAAATCAACCATTGAAAACTTTTTCTTAAAGTTTATCTCTGTCTGACAAATTGTGCTATGTGATAAAAAGAGATAGATGAGTATAGTTAAACCCGTGTAATTAGACAAATTTTTAATAAATAAGCTTGTTCTTTTGAGTTGGCAAAACTTTTATATAGACGAATGGCGGGAGACTTGAATATTTTCAAAATGGCGTCACTATCGCAATAAAATTGTCTATAAGTAATATCTATGGTCCGTTTAGCTGTTACGGAGGCCGCTAGGGTGCTTAAGTCTAAGCCACGCCTACAATTATATGTGAAAGTATGTTTGTTGTTTAAAACAGGTACAAATTAGGTTTACCTATAGCTTAGACCCTAATTTAGATAATAAATGGTGGTGGTTAGTTGTAGTACGTTCTTTACGTAAAATGTAGTTAAATTAATCCAAATTATATAAATGGAACAAATATGTTTACATATGTTTATTAATCGTTACTAGATATATATAAAAATTATTAAATGTGTTGAAATGATATCTTATTATTTTAAAATATATTTAAATAATCTAGCAAATGTATAAATAGTTCTTATTTCACAACCATAATGCCACCAAAGAGTATTGTCGGTAAAATTTATGTTTTATCTGTGTAATTTAAAAAAGAATTCGAAGTTTTAAATTTAGAATACATAGCACACTTTATAAAATTCAGCAAAGGTTTATTACGGTTTGGACAAATATGATGAAGCCAGTGTCGACTGATAATGGCGTATGTGCATGTGTGCGTGCCCACCAACGAGGTTATCAAATTGTATTACTGTAAAAATTTCCTATATAATGCTTTCTGATTTGAAATTGCACAGATAAACGTATATTCCAAATGTCAATTTGCACTGCACTGTCAAATTAGCCTATAAAATGTCAAAATTTAAAGAATGACATTTAATATGGCAGTTTATTGTATATAAAAAATTAATTGTTGTTCGGTTATCTCGCTAAAATCGAGAATGGCTGCACCAATTTGACTAATTTTGATCTTGAAATGTTTGTAGAAGTTCAGGGAAGGTTAAAAGGTGTTAAAAACGAAAAATACTAAAAGCGAGTTCTGGGAAATATTTGATATGTTATTTTAGAAATAACAAAGTTGTCATATGTTTATAGATGCGTTCAGAAATTTGTTTCATTGCTTTAGTATGAGGTCCGATCACTTTGGCCTGTCTTAAAATATATTTAAGTTTTGACACAAATATATATATTTATATACCTAGGTGAAACGAAGTTCTAGTAATAAATTCTATAAAAACGCCCAAAACGGGTAGAAACAACATTAGACATATGAGTATATCATATGTCAAATTTGTTTTTTTTTTTAAATAAATTGTCTCTGCACACAATTTAACATTACGATGCCAAATTTCGTTTAAGGTAAACTGTCACTAACTATTGCTCTATTGCTCTAACACTTCAAGCAAATTCAAGATTTATTACGCGAGGGTTTTGTTCATAGACTACTTAGTATTACGCAAAAATATAGGAATAAAAAAACGATTACTTGATCTCACGATGTCGTTGAATTTATTAAAATATATATATTTTGTGTATGTTCTACATATAACTATAATATATAATGTACTTTTTAATAGTTTTTTTTCGGAGCTGCCCCTACCCATTGTCGCCCTTTTTAATGCAGTAATTAAGAATCGCTTCGAGTTAAACCTAGTTTAAGACAAACTTCACACTGTAATATATTCTATAGGTATATACATATATTGTTAATAAATTTCGATTGTGGTACGCAAAAGCGCATCGCATTTCTTTGCATCTTTTCATAGACTTAGCTGTCATTGGTAGATATGTTTCCCATCTAGTAAGATCTGTCTGGTAAATTTTCCATAAAGACTGTTTTAGTGTATATTATTGGAGAATATTTTCCTCGTTTTCTCCATAATTTGAGAACTTTACCGGTAATGTTTAGTGCTACAAACTCTACCGATACAAATAGATAGAGAGAAAAAGTAGATTAAACATCGCGCGCTTGACAGTTGTATATTTAAAGCAAAGACAGGGCACGGTCTGTTATATACAAAAATATGTCGTCTATATATACTCATAAATTTTAAATGTATAATAAACAAATACCTATATTTTCACCATACCATGTATGGTTGTGGCGCTATCTAATATAGCCTATGCACACTATCTCCAACAGGAAGCAAGTTATTGTTAAAAAAACAATAGATATCTAAACACAAGAAACAAAATATATATGTGAACGTACTATTGCGTAGTCTGCATACGTTAGTCTGTGTGTATTGTATATACTACATTATAGTCTGTGGTGTTGCGCGGCGGTCGGCGGCGACGGCCTGCGCAGGAATGCAACAGGTAACCGATTCCTGGAAGGCCGTGGTCCGTTACCGTGCCGAATATCTCCGGCAGTCAAACGCGCCGACAAGTGCGCCCGCCGGCCACTTGCGACAACGTGCGATGCACCCACCCCCCTGCCCCCTAACATGCATCACCTAGGGCTGCCCCAAAAACAACATGGAACTCACGGGACTTAAGCGTTCACTATCATAGCGTAGAACAAAAGGACGAGTCCTACCTCAGCAAAGTTCTGTCTGTACTTTATTGGCGATTCATGCAGAATTTACAAGAGATTTCGAGCTAAAAATGCTCTTTGTACGATATGTGGCAACCCTAGCTGCTGCATTCCAAGCGACATCAAAATCGAGTTAGAAACCAGTCGAACAGTCCGCATTCTATCAGCAGCACTGGGACCTTCTTCACCTAACATTCACTTTATGACTCCAATATGGATTCCTCGAATTAATATGAACAGTTTTTCGTCATGCCATATCGGTAGCATATATGCTCATGAATACAGATCACGAAAAATGTAATTTGTAATTCGAAGAAATTTTTTAATATTTTTGTATTCAATGTTATCGATATATAAAGGAATTGTTTAAAGACACTATATACTCGTAAAACTGTAAAACGGCCGTAGCCGTACAGATGACAGATTGTCTAGAACCGAATGGACTGGTCTAAATGGAAAAGGAACAAGTAGTTGGAAAAAAGTGGATGATAAATATAAAAAAAATGTGGAAAAAGTTGGAGGAGGCTTTCTGCCAGACAGGGGCCGCATCTTAGTGTACTAAAATTATATTTTTGTAAAATGTATGTCAATAAGATGTGGAAGAATAAAGGATTATTATTATGTAAAACTTCATAGAAAAAGTTCTATATATAAAGACCACGAAGAAAATCGTCTGCAAGTCCGAATCTATGGAATTTGCGTGAGATGTGGACAAAGGTGGCCTGTTTCGCTCATTTACGTAACAGTCGATCCTTAACTTAGGATCATTCAAATATCAATGAATGATGTGAATCTAATTCAGTTTCGACGGCCAGTAATAAGTACGGAAGGGTTGTCTATGTCTTAAACAATTAATAGCTAGAAAATAAACGAAAGATTTCGTCTTTTGATTTTTTGACGCGCTTCGTGTGATTGGTCAATCGGATTGGGCGTGTGTGTGATTGGACGAGAGATACCAATTATAATCAAACGAAACTTCGTTCGTCTTTTGTTTTACCGTCAGCCCTTGAAAATATGGTCTTAATTTTTAACATCGTATTTACTATGTGTGTTACTTTAATATTCTTACATAGTGATTACTACATAGTAAACCTACATACTTAGGTTAAGAATAGATATAATATATTATAAAAATAATTCAAAATTGAGATTCACTATCAAATTCGTATCTCTGCCTTTACAATATTCAAACATAGAGTATTCAAACTAACACAAATATAGAGTATTTACAACATTCTTAACTTACATAATATTTAGTATTAATTTTATTTAAAAAAGTTTGGTTTCTGTGATTATCTTTTTTCATACCTTATCAAATTTTGTCTAATAACTTGTTTGCTTCATAGTAAAAATAGCGTAAAATATCTTAAATGCTTCTAACGTCTGTTCAGAAATCGATACCAGATCTATTAGTGAAGGGACTCCCCCACATATCCCAATCGCACTTAATTTGGGGGCATTGTCGGTCGCCCCTATCCACAGTGACATGTCATGAGAAGACAACCGAAATAGACTGAGATTTTTCTATTTACGAATATTCGTGTGTTTGAACCCCGCTTTTTCTATATATGGGCATAAGTAAACTCCTAACAAAACTCTCTTCTAAGATGAAAGTCGACAGTGTGTGTTCATCATCCTATTACTTACTCAATTTTTTTATAGAAGTGATACAGCCGCTCTCAATGTTACAGGTCTCGCGAGTGCATTACCGGCCTTTTAAGAATTGGTACGCTTTTCTTGAAAGGTCATAGAATTGGTTTGTTAATACATCAGTGGGAAGTTCCACATAGAAGTAGTATGCGACAAAACTGCCTTAAAAAACGCTCAGTTTCGCAGATCGCAGAACTTAACTAAAGCAGCCAAATTGTTAAGAGAATCTTTGACATCAGTAGTCCAGAAGTTTTGGAGTTTATTCCTTATTATAAGTATAGAAGATTTCCTGTTAAATGGTTAATAGATTGTAACTTCTTGAAAATAGCCCCGATTGTAAGGTCGGTAATTTCAACAATACCTTTAGTATAAGTTAGTAATGTGTTTAGCTTAACTATCACAAAATAGTTCTTTTACGTTCTTCTCAGATTAGGGCGTTTCTAAGATTAATATTACCTTAATTAATTCGTTACTTCTAGTGTCATTTTTACAAGTGTATAGGTATCTTACTTTTTTATATAATTTAAAAAAACTCAGTAAAATAATCAATTATTATTTATTTTCTGCATTAAAGGTACACAGCCACAGGGACCAAACTTTTCAAATTTGTTTTAATTTTCTATTTATCCGTTTTTAATTATTATTACTATGTTGGTTAAGAATATTGTAAATACTCTCTTTGAATATTGTAGGGGCAGAGAGACGTATTTGATAGTGAGTCTCCAGTTCTAAGTTATTCATGTCTTCAGTTCTAGTGTAGGTACACTATATTATGATTAATATTATTTCTCTTGCGTTAAATTAAAAACTTTTATATTTTTATTTATCTATTTATCCGGTTTTAATTATTATTCAGTTTTTTAATTATTATTCAGTTGTTAAGATAATAAAAATTAAATTAGCTTAAATATTCCACAAATAATTGATTTCTTATTAGCAGTATTCTGTGACATTTTCAAGCGCTGAAGCAGAAATCATTTTCTTGCGACGAAATCTTATGTGTTAAACTTTTAAACAATATATTGTTTAGTCACAGTGGCCAATAGTTTTTAAACTAGTCCCAGTTCATAGCAGAAATTTGTATGACAATTTTACGTACACAATAATACCCTGTATTCATTCTACTACTAAAAATATTCCCCTTTTAGACGTCCCTTCCTAGAAAGATAAGAAAGTACACACATGTGCCCAACATGCACCGGAAATGTGACATCTATCTGCCCCCTGCGACGCAATCATCTAATAAGACGGAAGAGAATCTAGACAAAAGTTTATTTTTAGACAGCTAGAAATAGAACGAAAGGTGAGCTTCGAGCGGCGTGAGCCACGTGTTAAAAATATCATCGCCCCAAGCACGCATCCCCTAAACATTTTGCTTTATTGTTTTCATGTCGCTCGCACCTGGAGTGTATAGACGAACTAATTAACAAATCAGTTATTAATTTGATTAATAAATAGGCTTTTTAACGAGATTTTAACTCTATATAAATTGTATTTTAAATTCGGTTAAAAATGAAAATTTTAAAAACCCGCCAAAATGCTTTCAAGATGGCGTCGCATCTGTCAAGTAGCTGCTTGTAAACAAACGTCAAGTTTTACAACTTATTCTTAAATAACATATATTTCGATCAAAAACAGTCTCCGACAAAATTAGACTCCAAGAGAGTATGGGCCCGTCTAGGCTGTAAATTATCTAAAGTAGGTACTTTTGTCTCTTTTGTATAATTTCCAAAGTATTAAAGAAGTGATCTAAGTGAGCGTTCTATAAGTCTGATAACCGCTGGCATTTTCATATAAATCTCACGCTGTCTGCTCAGAAAGGACTCGTCTGGCGTCAAACGTGAATCCGGATGGTCATATATATGGTACCGCAGTGGTATACCATATACGGTGTACAGTCATAGGGTTAAATTGAGGAAGAGACGTATTCTTACTCCCGTACCTACGTCAAATTGGATTTTGCCAAACTTTACATTTAAAGAATGAAATTTTTAAAGCAAACATTGTTTTTTAAATAATTATCATACCACTCATGCGTTTGTTATTTGCTTCGTTAAAAAAAATACAGTTTGATCTTCGCTATTTTTATAAATAAAGTGGCACCAGTAAAAGAAGATTTTAGCCTATTTTTAGCGATGCAACGAAATTAGGCAAGGTGAAAAATATTGAAAGTATTTTTCATTAAAGCCTTCTACGACCAGAAAGATTATTCGGGGGAATGGACTAACAGATGAAAGAAAAATACCTGAGAAGTTACAAATGTTGTGATTTTTGAACAAAAAAATTATTAATAATTTAATGTTAGTAAAAAAATAATAGGGTGTATTTATTCCCTTTTTGAATTATTATTAGTATTCATTAAAGTAGTATTCGTAGTATCTCTTCTATTTATAACACCCCTAGGATTAAAATTTCACTAATTAGTTAATAATTTTAATAAATACTTGTGTTATTAAAGAAATGAATATAATTTTATTAGAATTATTACGTCAGTCAGTCGATTGATAATAATCTAAGAGTAGGTACTTGCATTTAAGTAAATTTCCAACGTCATCAAACTTTATTATACTATTAAATTAAATGTTTAGCTGAGAATCAAATACAAAAACTCTGGTTTATACGTACCTACCTACCTACTGAACGTGAATTGAAATGATTGTTAAAATATTTAATATCTGACATATTCACAACAAAGAGGAAAAAAATGTTAATAATGTGTTATTATTATAATTATGGGACGTGACTACAATTTACTCAAATAGACCTAGATATAGGGGAAGTCCCTCAGTGAGGTCTAGCCGTCTTAAGCCTGGATTCGAAGGATTATTTGTTTTTATAGAACAGGAGACAAACGGGAGGAGGCTAATCTGATGGTAAGTGGATCATGACCCATGGACACTCAATGCCAGAGAGCTCGCGAGTGCGTTGCCAGCCTTTTAACAAAAGGTACCCTCTTTTCTTGAAGGTGTTTATCTATTCGATATATTGATATACATCGGCACCTCCGTCCGTGGATCTGGATTGAAGCGAATTCTAAAAAAGGCGCTCTACATGTTTATTAAATTCACTCAATACTCAAATCCAGAGGGCTCGCAAGTGCGTTGCTGGCCTTTAAAGAATCCTTATCTCTTTCAACAGCTATTTAAAAACTGAACTACTAATGTGTTTACGGAAATTCAAAGAATTAAATGCCACAGATTATATTATTCATGTTATATAAGAATAGAACGTGTAGACAAATTGCAGATTGTATGAATGCATTAGAGGCCCCCGA